TAAATCTGAAACTCTGTCCCCAGTAAACAAACTCCCCAGACCCTGGCATCCTCCATTCTACTTTTTATCTCTATGATTTTGACTTCTCTAGGGACCTCATATGAGTGGAACCATACAGTGATTATCTTTCTTTGACTGGAATGTCCTCAAGGTGTGTCCATGTCATAGCATGTGTCAGAATTTCCCTCCTTCTGAAGTCTGGATAATATTCCATTGTGTCCTGTTCATCCATTCATCCCTTGATGGACACTGGGCTGCTTCTGCCTCTTCACTACTGTGAACATGGTATACAGACTTCATTCCTTTTTTATGGCTGATCAACATTTCACATATGGTTTCATTTTGGAATTTTGAGATGGAAACAAGAATCATAAGCACCCATGGAGGGCAGGAGATGTAACTCAAGAGTAGAGCAACTGCCTAGCAAGCATGAAGCCCAGTGGGACGATAGCACACCTGTGCCAATGCAGGCATTCCTGGGCACTCACTGCCTGGCCAGTGGCCCCCTCTGGCCACACCCTCAGACCAGGTTTCATGAAGTTAAAAAATGCAGGGGTCCATTGTTAGGTGGGGAGCCTGACTGGGGTCAGAGAGTACAGGGGAAAGACATCAAGATCCACCCAAGAAGAGGAGCAGCTGTGCCCCAGCTGAGTGACTCCAGGGATTGGGGTGGATGCCCATGTGGCTGTTCAGCCTCCATCACCCTGTAGGATCTTCTAGAGGTCCTCAATCTCTCCAAAAACTGAAGCATAGGGGGCCCCTGCCTATACTGGTCCACTGACCCTCTATACCCGAGGTCACCAGGGCTCAAGCCACCAGCCCCCTGTAGTGCCCTTCCAGCCCCCCCCGGGGCCATGGAGTTTCACCCAGGTCTGCAGCCTCCCTCCGGCAGTCTGCAGGTGGGTTCCTTTCAGGTCCTTGCAGTTCTCTTGCCTACTCAACCCAAGAGGGCTGGACCTTGGCTCTCCCTATAGAGCTTGGACTCAGTCTCAGGATCAAGGGTCCCCGTATGGAGGTATCAGGTCTCATCAGCCAAGAAGGGAAGGGGACCAGGGCCAAGAAGGGACCAGGTAGCCTCCCTGGGAAGAGGTCTCAGCGTGGGGCTCAGGCCGGGGCTAGATCACAGGGGAGGCAGAAGAGGGGACAACAGGGCAGGACCCAGGAGCCTGGGATGGATGCTGGGCAGCCCTGGCCCCTCTGGGTCCCACCCACTGGGGTCAGTGCCAGCTTGGTCCTAAGACCCCAGGACTGGCCCTCCTGAAACCACAGACTCTGCCCCAGCACCTGGGGAGGACCCGCTGGAAGAGCGTGGGAGGGGGTGTGCGCTAGGTCCCAGCCAGGGCTGTGACACATGTGCCTGGGGCAGAACAAGAGGACGGAAAAAGTGAGTGCAGGGCGGTGCAGGCCGCTTTACGGGAAAGCGGATGCAAAGTGCTGACTGGTCCCCGCTTCACTCTCGGTTCTTATCTGAGCCCAGCTACGCCCGCCTGCAGATGGCCTGGCTCCGCTAGCACCAGGCAGACACTTAAGCCGGGGCTGGTGGCTCAGAGCGACCGCTTCCTCCCTCCCGCGCTTTGTCTTTCTCTTTTCTTTTTGAGTATCAGTTTGGACTCATGTTCTTTCAAATACATTTAAAGTGTACTAATCATCATTAGAAATTTCTTTTGATACTCAAGGTGCCCGTCGTCCTGTTTCCTTGCCTTTGGGGACGGTGAGTCTGGGCCAGGCACTTCTCTCACGGCAGGGACTTTCAGCAGAGGCTGAAGGTTCGCCAGGCACTGCTGACTTTGGCAGTTTCAGCAGGCATAGTCTGTGTAGTCCCCATGACTCTGTGACCGCTCAGTGCTGTGGTTGGCCCCGATGTTTCTGCCGGGGGCTGGTGGGAAACGGGTGAATGCTTCTTGACTTCCAGATGGTGTCTATCCATCCCCAGCTTGGTACTTCCTCCTGCCATGCCTAGGGCTGCTCCCCACAGCCTCCACAAGCTGTGTCATTTTCAGACTTTTGCCAATTCTGGCAGGCGTAGTTTAACTTGTGTTTTTCTTATTATGAATAAACTTGAATGTCCTTTCACCATTCAAAGAATATATGCACACACATGTACACACGTGTGTACACAACACACACATTTATATGTACATGGACACATCTTTATGCACATGTATACATGTACAGCACATGTTTATGTACACTTGTGTACACATACAGCTATATTCTCATGTACAAACACATACACACAGACATGTATTCACACATATTTTTGTGAAACAGTTGGTTACATTGACTGCCTTTTTTTTTTTTTTTTTTTTTTAGGGATGCGATTGGGGTTTGAACTCAGGGCTTCACACTTGCAAAGCAGCTGCGTTACCACTTGAACCACACCTCCAGCCCATTTTGCTGTGGTTATTTTGGAGATGATCTTGTGAACTATTTGCCCAGGCTGGCCTCAAACCACAATCCTTGCAATCTTAGCCTCTCAAGTAGCTAGGATTACAGGCGTGGGCCCCGGGTGCCTGGCTTCTGCCCACTTGTCTGCTGTACTTTGGGTCTCACCCTCTTCCAGATTTAGATTTTACACAATTTATATAAGATCTTTTGCTTGTGATTTTCTTGCCATGCTAATTTTTTTGTTTTTCAATTGGTGGGAATGAGTGTGTCAGTCTTTCCCTGAACTTTCCCCTGACTGAAATTCCTTACTAGCTAGGGCTTGCCCTGTGCCCACGCTGTGAAGGGCACACTCCCCGTGCTTTTCACACTCTGCTGGGCTTGCAAGTATAACTTGGAGTGCCCTCCTGAGAGGCTGCCATCCACCCAGCACTTTTCTTTAGGAATCTGCTCGGTTCTTGTCTCCCCTCTCTCTGCCCAGCACCCAGGGTCTCCTTGATGGCCTCCGTTCACTTTCCTTTCAAGGTTTTCTTGGTTACTAGCTTGTTTGCTTTTCTGAATATACATTGTGTTCCAGAAGTGTGGGTTTTTATTTGGATAATGTTGACCTTACAGATCAAGTGGGACGAACTGCCATGACTGAGCAAACCACGGTGTCCCGTGGAGAGGCCAGGTCTGCGTCCAGCATCCAGTGGTTCCTCTGGGGCCTGTGTGTTTCTCCAGGTTGTGCCTCATTTGCATTTAGCTCAAGTGGACTCTGCTCTGTCCCACCTTCGCCTTCTCCCTGCCCTGTTTGGACAAATGAGGGCTGTCTGTTTCTGGACGCTAGCCTCCTGTCTGCTGTACCCCTGGTTTCTTACTATGCTAGCTTTCCCATGAGACTTATTGGGCTTTCCAGCACCCAGCTTGCATCATCTGCAGGGCCCCAACACCTTCCCTCTGACCCTCATCCTGCCTGTCTGGGATGTGATGACTCCACCCCGCCTCACCCCTCCTCACCCAGGATGGACCCAGAGTAGTGGACTCAGGAGGAGCTCAAAGGTCTGGGCAGCTGGTGGCAGCTGCAGCACCCAATGGCCTTGGGCCAGCTCCCCTCCCCCACTTAGGTGGGGTCTGGGGAGGAGTGTCAGCTTGTCCCTTTGTCAACAGCCAAGACCCCGGCGTGGTGATGGGCTTGTTGTAGTGGGTATGCCCCTTCTTTGGGGGAGTCTGTCTCGGGAACAGACCCAGCCCCGTGCATAGGGCTCACTCGTCGCCTGGTGCAGCCTCCCCGCTCCACTGCCGTGGCCCTGGCACCAGCGCTCCTAGATAGGGGAAGTAGATGTAGACACAGCTGCTCAGGGGATGCCCTGTGCAGGGCGGAGGAAGTTTGGGGTTCACAGACTGTGGGATCCTGGGAAGGCCTGGGGGTGAGGAGTGTGGGGACTGCTCTCCCCCGATACACTTGGCAGCTTTTCACACCTGGGAGGCTGCACGTGTGAGTGGTTGAGTGGAGATGAAGATGAAGGCGGGAGGCCTGCCTGTTTCTGGTATTTCATTCAGCCAGGACTGACTAGGCCAAGCCTCAGGAAGGCCATACGTCCTCACCCTGGCCCCAGCTTAGTGCTGCAGCCCTGCCTGCTTGAGGCTGGCCCTCTTGCCCTCCTGCTCCCACAGCCTCTAAGAGCAGGACCAGACTTCTTAAGGCCTTTGTCATTATTTAATTATAATATTATAGAACCAAAGGAAAGGGGCTTCAGAGCCCTGACCGCAGAGATGCCCACTGGTCAGTCTGGGTGTTGGCTGCCCTGCCCTAGATGATGGAGTGCTGAAGAGACACCTGTGCCACTTTGTCCTCCACTTGAGGGATCTGGCCAAGGCCTCTTGAAATAACACTGTGAATGTCCAAGAACTGGACTCCCAGGAGAGGATGAATGGGGGGGGGACCCCTGCATCACCCTCTGCCACCCTTGACCAGGGTGGCCACAGTTGGGATGGGCCAAAGCCAGCCTTCTCCTCCCTACCACTGATAGTGGGGGGATCTCAGCCCCTGCCCCTGAGGGTGAGCAGGGAAGGAGTGGAACATCATTGGAGGCAAGTGGGCTTCTAGCTCTGCCTCAGTTTCTCTGCTGTAGAAAGGGCTGGAGGTGCAAGAAGCTCTTCTGGTCTTTGCTGAAAATTCCCTAGGGCTGGAAGGCTGCCAGCCCTGTGGAACCCTGTCCCAGTGCCCCTGTAAGGCAACCTTAGGTACTGTGTCCATGGTGCCCCTGGGGGTGGCTCATGGGGCTGGCTCCAAGACAGTCTCCAACCAGGCCCCCATCTCCAGGCACAAGGGTCCCTAGGAGGCTGCGGGGCCATAGCCCATGAGTAGCAGGAAGATTCAGGAGGTAAGGCCTGTCCAGTCCTCCCCATCAGGGATCAGTGACCTGCTGCTCCCAGCTTGCTGTGAACATTAAGAGGAGTGTCCCTCGATGGGATCATGCCTGGGCAGGGCTGGCATAGGTGCACGTCATCACCTCGGCCTGCTCAGCTCCTGGGAGGTCCCCGCTCTGCACTCTGCATGCTCCTCCTGGGGAGGAAGTAACACTGGGCTCTCGGTGGAGGGTCTGCAGGACACTGGTAGCTGAGGAAGTTGGTCAGAGGGGCCAAGAACAGTGTCCATCCTCGTGCTTCACAGGCCGGGGACCCTGAGGGCCATCAGCTGAGCCCCTGCGGCCTGGGTTTGAGGCACCCAGCCCAGTGGGGAAGACGATGGTGGCATACTCTGTGTGTATGCAGGGTGCCGGGGGCTCTGAGGTCTTCTCTCGACACTGGAAGTCTAGCTCCCCATAGGCCACGGTGAAGACAGGCACTGCCGAGGGGTCCTCTTTCTTCAGGGGGAGAGGAAGGAAGGGGTCAGCCAGGAGGCCCACCCATGGCCAGCCCAGGGAAGGGGACTGTATCCCTACAACTTATGCCACACACCAGAGGGAGCCTGTGCTCAGTGATTCCCGACACTGGGTTTGGGGCTTTTGAATCCAGGCTATGATGGCTGTCCCCCGTAATGCCCTTCTGTGTGATCCAGGATGCAGCCCCTCCTGTCTGCCTCAGTTTCCACCTCTAAACTGTCTTTGGCAGTTTTGCAGATTTAGGGTTCCAAAATGTGACTTTTCTGGCTCTTTTCTGCCCAATATAGGATAAGCTACAGCCACACCCACACCATGACTTCACTGGTGTGCACCCTGGGGCGGGTGTGTTCTTAGTGGGAAGTGTGATTTTGGGGTGGACTTGGGTCCATAGGCCGCAGTCCTGTAGGCCCATAGCTGCCAGCCCTGCCTGTGCCCAGCCCTGCAGGCAGAGTGTGATGGTCACTCAGGAAGGGACCCAGACTCACCAGAGGCTGCTCCTTGCTTCTAGGTCTTCCGGTCTCTGCAGAGAAACACAGTTTGAATCAAGGGGCAGATGCAGAGTTGCCCTTCTCGGCGTGGGGAGGTCTTACCTAGGGGTCCCTGTTGGTGGGGGCTTCATCAGCCCAGAAGAGGTCTAATCCTCAGAAAGGACTTTCTCCGGGCTCACATCTTCCCCGAGCAGCAACCAGGAGTCCCCAGTGTGCCTTTCAACCTGGCACACTCAGAGATGCTATGAGTGGCCCTCCCAGCTGGTGCTGCCCAGAAATGCTGTGTGCTTTTGCTCTGTGGTTGCATAGAGGGGGTGCAGGGTGCCTCAAGACATTTGGAGGAGGGACTGAGAACCACTGAAGCAATGAACTGCCAGGGACCTGGCCCTGCTGTGAGAACTGTGCTAGGCAGTTGCTGTTCCCTGGGCTGGGGTGGGGGTACACAAGGCCCAGGGCATCCAGAGTCCAGCTCTGGATGACAGTGACAACCATGACCTCCCCAAGGAGCCTGTCCCAGGACAGCAAGGCCCAGAGCTGGCTGGTGGGCAGAGCCTGGGAGCTCCTCCCAGGGGTGATGATCTGGGCTTGGCCCCCTCCTGGGAGGGGCTCCAGGAAAACCTATTAGGGTTCCTCCTTCAAGCCTGTCATCAGTGATTTAGTGAGGATCAGTGGCCTGGAACTCCCTGTGTGGGTGTGATGACCACAGGCCCTCATGGTGGTTAGGTCATATATGTGTCTGTGTGGGCAGTGAGCACAGGTTCTCCTGGTGCTCAGAGTCTGTGGGGTTGGGAGGTGGGGCTGTGGTGAGATGGGGAAGGGCTGTGACAAGACTTACCTGGCATGTTCCTGGAGTAGAGGGAAGTCAGGACCCAGGCCAGCAGCAATAGCACTGGGATGCCCACTAGGACACTTGTGACACCAACAACCAAGCCTTGAAACTGGCCTGTGGGCCTGGGCGAAGGGCTGGGGTGCACTGTGGGGGTCTCTGGGACTCTCTCTGGAGGACCATAAAGGACAGGGGTCAGTGATCCTGGGTGATCAGAGGGTGCTCCCTTCAGGGGCACCTGCCCTGCCCTTTGCAGGCCTGAAGTCTCCAACTCAGACCAGCAATGACTGTCACGTCCCTGGGTTCAATTCATTTTGGAGAAAGTTGCTACCCATCCCACCTCCCTCAACGACAAGTGGGGCTGGGGTGCTTCCACAGGGGGTGTCAGGCAGAGCCCTGAATGGGGGCCTGGTGGATCCCTGGGCACCCTCCCAGGCCCCCTGGCTGCACCTGTCACCGTGAGCTCTGCGCCAGGACTCTCCTTGATCTTCGTCCAGGGGGGCAGGAATATGGCTCCACAGAGGTAGATCCCGCTGTCGTTACGCTTTGTGGCTGTGATGATCATGTGGAAGTCGTGCCCATTGGGCAGCTGTGCAACCTGGAAGCGGGGGTCTGGGCCGGGCTCACTGCGACCCTTGAGGAAGGCAGCCAGCTTCTCAGTCTGGTTGCTGGGGCTCAGCCGGTACCAGTTCAGCACATGGTGCTCCGACCAGTTAGAGAAGCTGCAGGTGAAGATGGCATCTGCCCCCTCGGACACTGTGAGTCGGGCTGGGGAGAAGGTGAGGGGGCTCCAGGGCCTGCTGGGGGACTCTGAGATGGATGAGAACATACCAGCTGAGAAAGAGGCTTGTCTGACTTTCCCTGCCCACTTTCACAAATCCCTGGGGATAGAGATAGCTTTTGCAGGACCCCGAAGGCTGGAAATCCCCTGGGCAGCCTGTGGTCCCTCCTTGCACCCCGGGGATGGGGTGCTTGCCTCCACAGCAGGCTTTGCCTTCCCCTCTGTTGAGACTTGCGGCTGGGGGCTCGGATGCCCTGCGGTCCACAGAGGGCATCCTTGCCCAGCCCACATGTGCTGGGCCTTATCCGGGGTGCCCTCCACGAGGTCAGCAAACTCTGGGAGGCCATACCTGTGGTCTCTGATTTACAGTGTGAAATTGCGGCTCAGAGAGATGCAGAGAGACCTTAAACTGCTGTGCACCTGACTTGGAGTGTGTGCCAGCGCCCCTCAGCCCCCGGCCTACACCGTCACCACCTGGGATGTGGAGAAAGGGCCAGTGCAGGGGAAGGCCCACGCCCAGCCAAGCCCTGTACAATCCTCTGTCCTCTCCTCCCATTGGCCGCCGCCTCCTCACCAGATGGAGGCACCAGCCAACCCCCTGCCTGAGTGCTCACATAGCAAGCAAATTCTCTCATCCACACGTCCTCCAGCCCTGCACCCCCAACACTGTGCCACCCGGTGTCAGTACCAGGAGAGGCCATGTGGCATTGGATGATGTTTGCTGGACATGGCTCCCCACACAGGGCGACACAGAGGAGCCACACAGGCTGTGATTGTCATGGCTACTGGGCTTAGCCTCTGAAGCTGTTGTGGTGATGGGCTCAGAGGGATTGAGGTGATGGAGGACGGGGGAGGAGGAGGAGCAGGAGGAGGAGGAAGGGCCAGATGAGGGGAGCAAGCGGTGGAGGGGCGAGGTCTCACTTTGCATAGGGTGAACGGGTGTCTGACATCAGCTTCCTCTAGCTTAGGAAGGAAGCTAAGGGTCTGTCAGCTGAGTGTGTGGGCGGAAGGCCAGAGAAGGTCCTGAGGGCATCTCACTGCAGCCCTGCAGGGAAGGCAGCCTCCATTCCCCCCAGGAGAGGCAGGGTTGGTGAATCACCCTGTTGAGGAGGCAGGGCTCTCATGTGCCCATCAGTCTGTGGTCACCATTTCTTCTCCCCGCTCTTTCCAGCCTTTGCTGGGTGAGGGATGGCAGGGCCAGACCTTGCAGACCCCTTCCAGTGCCACTGGATTTGAGAGCAAACACGACTCATGAGCTGGACCAGGAGGCTCCCCACAAAGGCTGGGGTCCTTAGATTCCTGTGCAGCAGTGACGAGACCTGAATATGGGTGGCTCTGGGCGGGGGAGGGAGAGTTGTGGCCCATGCAACTCTGCAGCAGCCAGGAGGCCTACAAGGGCCAGGCCTGGGCTAGGGTGTCCAGCGGGCTTTTCCCTCTCAGCAAGCATTACCGTCTCATTCTTTGCTCCTCAGGGGTGAGACAATACCAGCCCTTTCCTTGGTCTGTGATTACATGTGCAAGCCACACACAGCTACCACATCACACCATGTGTGTCCAAACCACACGTTAAGAGTATGTCACGTTAAGAGTTTCCCTTGGTAATATCCAGCATCTTCTTTATACATTCACTCAAGAAACATACAAGCTGAGTGAGGTGGTGCACATCTGTAATCCCAGCTACTGGGAGACATAGATAAGAGAATCATGGTCTGAGACCAAGCTTGGGCAAAAACGCAGGAGCCTATCTGAAAAATAATTAAAGCAAAAAGGGGCATGGCTAAAGTGGTAGAGCACCTGCCTAGCAAGAATGAGGCCCTGAATTCAACCCCCAGCACCTCCAAAAAGAAAAAGAAAGAAATATATGAGCCTTTTAAAAGAAAACCTTAAGCAAATATGGTAAGGTTGGGCTCAGATCTTGCAAAACTCATGCTCCAGTGTTGAAACACCAGGCCTGGGAGCAGGGGTGCCACTGGTAGGTTTGGAGGCCACTTCCACACTGACAAGACCCCCTGCTCCTGGCTAAGCCAGGGGCCCCTTGAAGGCTCTTCCCGTGTGTTCAGGTCTTCTTCCTTTGGGACCAGAAACCTGGGACCCACAGAAGAGCTCCCAGTAATCTTTAGACTGGACTGCACCTTCTCTTCAACCCATCCAAACTCACTGTCTCAACCAGACCAACCACCAAAGCCTCCAAACGGATTCTCACAGCTTCCCAAGGCCAGGAGGATTGTAACAGCCTCAGCAGCTCCTGTGGTCCACGGGCACTTCAGGGCACCTCTTGGCCAGTCCTCATCTGCTGTGTGGCTGTTAACCTTTAGACCATGGTGTGTCCTCGGGGAGCTGCTGCCACTTGGGCTTTCCAGCCTGGCCTTCAGGTGCTCCCAGGGAAGCCCTTGCTGGGGACTCCAGGGCACAATAATTGGAGTCACTTTTTTGGCTTTGTCTTCCCTTTGCTGCATGGGCCCCACCCTGACTTTGCCCACCCCCAGGAGCCTGCCTGGTTGTGTCCAGGCCCCGGGCTCCCAAGTCCCTTCTTATAGTCCTGAGGCTCCACCCAGGATGGTTGCTGTACCCTCTGTGCCCCATTGCTACCATGCTGCCTTCTGGACGCCTCTAGCATACTCCTAGATGTCTGTTCCCCAGTGTCCCTGTAGTCCACCCAGAGGTAGCAAGGGTGAGGACCCTCTCACAGAGTCTACCCTTCAGCTGTGAGACCAGGGCTGACCCTGGTGCCCTGCTGCTGCTCTAGAGCTGCTTTGATCAGGGAGTGCTCACTTACTGAGGGCACGGGGGTGGGGAGAGTCTGTTGGGGGACTCCTGGTGACCAGCCAGGGTGAAAAGACAACAGGGAGGACCCAACTGAGCATTCAGCCCACCCAGGTAGAGGAAGTGGTCCCTAGGAATGAACAGGCATCTGAAAGCCACTGGGAATCAGGCCAGGATCATGTTGGGTGTGATGGGGGCTGGGTGGGCTCAGCTCAGAGCAGCACCACAGAGGCCTGGCTCCCCTGCGCCCCGGGAACGTGGAGGGGACCCCATGGTGGCTGAGGCCCTGGGAAACACCTCTGGGTCTGTGCTAAAGGCTGCCTGTGGCTGTGGGGACAGACAGGCGGGGGAGGGAGGCTGTGGATGCCTGTGTGCAGAAGCGCTATGTGGTTAGAGAACACAAGGCCACCTCAAAGGTAGATTATAATTTTTTTTGGAGACAGGGTCTTGCTCTGTAGCCCAGGCTGGCCTTGTCCTCCAGATCTTCCTGCCTCTCCTGAGAGCTAGGTTACAGGTGTGCACCCAATACCCAGTGTTTAAACGGGTCTCTTTTAGCATCCCAGCCTCGCACTTACTTGAGCCATTCCGCCCGCCCCCCAGCACGCTGACTCCTGGGCACGCTGGGTACCGATTTCTCCGTGCCCTTGGGCCGTGAGTAACCACGAAGCTATTGTTACATTGTTTGTGCAGTTAAAACTTTCACTGTTGTCTATTTGAAAAAGCTCATGGTGGGACTTTCTCCTTGACAGCGTGCATGTCTATGAGGGACCCTCTGGGCTCTTTGGTCTCTTGTATCGCTCTGTCCCTTACTCACTGGGTCACCTGGGACTGCACGGGGACCCCGTTTTGGGGTCTAGTTGAAGTTGTTCACCCCCTTTAACCTGGGGGAGGGGCTTAAAGTGGGGCAGCATCCCTTTATCCCGCCTCAGCCTGTTCCAGGACTTTTGCTCCAAGGAGGCCTGGCGTGAGGCTGGTGATGTTGGAAACCCCGTCCTCCTGCTGTTCTCTCGGCCTGACCACCCCTACCCGGTCTACCTGGGCACTCTCCACCTAGGGCCATGCCATGTACATTTGTCCCCAGAATTCAGGTTGGAAACTCAATCCCCAAAGTCATGTGCTAAAGGTATTTGGAGCGAGACCTGTGGAGGTGGTCGGGGTATGAGGAGGTGGATTAATTCATGGACTTAGTGGGCTGTCAAGGGAGTGACTTGGCTGTAAGAGCTCTCTCTGGCACCTTGTTCTATCTTGCCACGTGATACCCTGTGCCACCTCGGAGCTCTGAGAGTCCCCACCAGCGCAAAGGCCCTCACTAGGTGTACCGCTCATGTGCTCAACCTCAGACTCCCAGTCTCCAGAACTCTGGGCTCAATAAACCTTTGTTCTTTATAAGCTACCCAGTGAGTGGAATTCAGTTCGAGCAACAGGAAACAGACCAAGGCTGGCCATGTACTCAGGAAGCCTTCTGGGCCTCCTCAGTTGGCAGAGTCTTGCCAGGAAGGTAAATCAGGGCTGGGGATGTGGGTCAGTGGTGGAGGACTTGCCTGGCATGGGTGAGGCACTGGTAACAGCAAAGAGGTAGCATTCAGAGAGACGTCACTGGCTGATTCCTAGTAAGGTCGTCTGGGGTATTTCCACAGACTTCACCATTCCCCCTGAGTTTGCTCTTGGACTCATGTAGGGAGGTGGGCTGCTGGGAGAGGGCTGTCCCTAGCAGTGCCCGGAGACAGTCCTTCCAGGCAGAGGCTGGGCAGTGAGGACCATGAGGCGAGCTCAGAGCAGGGCCACCGGGCAGCCGCCTGGGCTCAGAGCCCACAGTACAGACGCCACACTTCATAGTTGTCAACTTATCTAGGCAAGACCTGTCTGGTGTACTGAGAGCATCGTCAAGCGGGCTGTTGGGGTCTCCAGAGACCCCACATGTCATTTATTCATAGCGAAGGGAAAAGACCCTTCACCCATGACCCAGTATGGCATCCCTTGAAGGTCCCCCCTTCCGCAGAAGTGTGAGCACACCTGTGATTTTCCTGGCCAAGGTGCAAAGCCCTTCAAGCAAACCTGAGAATTCCCTCTCTCTGATGGTGGCTCTACACCCCTCACCTGGACTCCCCGAGAACACAGGGGCTGACAAATCAGAAGATTCTGCAGACGTGACATCCAGGAAAAAGGAAAACAGTCAGAGATGTCCTGGGGCCATGGGAGCGGCTTCCATGCCACCTTGAGGGGCCTTGCTGGGAGTTGGAGTCTGAGGGGATTAGCCACAATGAGGTCACACTGGAGCAGGGCTGTCACTCTGTGGGACCGGTGACCTTGTTAAGGGAAATGCAGACACAGACAAGGGCCAAGGCAGAGCAGAGGTGGGGTGATGCCGCTCTGCTTCAAAGAGCCCAAAGGCTGCCCGCAAACCCATAGGCTGGAGGGAATCCTGGCACACACAGGGTCGGAGGAAACCACCAACCAGTACCCCATCTCAGACTTCCCGACTCCAGAGCCCTGCGATGATGCAGTCCTGTCGTCCAAGCCCCAGTCTGTGGTACTTCACCATGACATTCAGCCAACCAAAAAGGAAGCAAATGGCTGGTACACTCAAGGCACAGTGACCACACCTGCAACTCCAGCTCTCAGGAGACCAAGGATCTTGGCTTTGAGGCCAGCCTGGGGCTGTCTAGCAAGACCCTGGTTTTTTTTTTTTTTAAAAAAGACAAGCCAAGCGTTGGTAGCTCACACCTGTAATCCTAGCTACTTGGGAAGCTGAGATCAGGAGGATTGGAGGTTTGAGGCCAGCCCCCGCAAAACATTAGTGAGACCCCAATAGCTGGATGTGATGCTGCATGTCTGTCATCCTAGAAATAGTAGGAAGCATAAAATAGGACGATCACAGTCCAGGTCAGCCTGGGCAAAAAGTGACACCCTTTCTCCAAAACCAGAGCAGAAAGGGCTGGAGGTGTAGCTCAAGCGTGCCTGTCCAGCAAGCATGAAGCCCTGAGTTCAAAGCCCAGTTCTGCAAGTGCCAATCTGACAAATTAACCATTCCAGGGAAGGACAGTCCCATCAGTGGTTTTAATTGTAGGTTGAAAAAAAAGAAAAAACAACAAATCTGACTTTAAAAAGTGTGTCATGGGCCATGCTAGGTAGTTTTCATACATGGTCTGATTCATTCTCGTGATCCCGTCAGGCAAGCATTTCTATCTCAAATTGTAGCTGAGAAGACACTGAAGAAGTTGGGTGCTATGTCAAGTCACAAAGCTCACAAGTGAAGGCTTTGCTTATTTATTTATCTAGTTTTGGTTTTCTGAGCCCAGACTGGCCTCAAGCTTGAGATCCTCCTGTCTCAGCCTCCTGAGTGCTGGGATTACAGAAGTGTATAACCATACCTGGTGAAAATGAGCACAAAGCCCCAGTCTCACTCATTCTTACTCATTAGAACAGGAAAACTACTGGATCTGGGTTATATACTAAAACACAAGTAAAACATACACAACGAGAGGGGTTATCCATGGGAGTGACCGAAACAAGAAGGTGAGTAAATGAGGACATGAAGGAAGATGTGTTCACAGCAACTGGGTCTGAGACTAGCCTTGCTGAAGCACTCTGTGCTGAGTGCTCCAGGTAGGGAAACTGAGGCATGCCACCTTTGACACTCCCACCCGACACAAGCTGGAGCCAGTTAAATTACATAAATGTGTCTTCTGTCTGTCCTCACTTTGGGGACATGCGTTGCGTGCTGGGCCACCAGCGTGTCATGGCCCCTTGTTGCCCCAGTTCCTCCTCCTGAGTGACAAACTCTTGCTACTACCCTGGCTCCTGGGCACTCTGACAAGGCCCCCAGGGGCATCTTTGGATGCCCCTTGGACCACTGTCTTCAGAGAGCAACTCCCTTCCTCTGAGAGGCCCTGGCAAGGACAAATCTGGGAGAGGGCAGAGACAGGAGCCCCCCACCCCCCAGCCATGATAATCCTGAAGGGGGCTGGGGCAGAGATGCGTGAGGGCCATCAGGCATGAGGATGTTGAGATGGCTATCTGGAAAGGGGAGTCAGAGTGGCCCCAGGGGTATCACCTTGTCTGGGCCCTGCAGTGGCCATCACCTCTACCCCATGCCACACCCTGCAAGCCCAAAGGAACAGCCCCAGGCCTGGAGCTGGGGAGCATCTTCCCCATGCCTCAGGTTTCCCGTGCAGGCTGGCCTGGCCCAGAAGGCAGAGGGAAGAGGTTTGAGGGGCTGAGCTGCAGTGTAGGCGCATCACAGCCCAGAGGGAGGCCTTCCCCATTGTGGAGAGTTTGACCAAGGGTTTTTCAGCAGGTGTCCGTACTGGTGCTCAGGGGCCAAGGCTGCCGTAATCAGGACCTCACCTTCCTCAAAGTCCTCTGTGGACACTGAGCCTTGCCCTGAGGTCTGTCCAGAGACCCAAGCAAGGCTGTACCCTGGGCCCGTGAGAGGGACAGACATGGCCAGCCAGTTTTTACCCAGACAGCTGTAAGTTGGCTGTATTAGAGAAATATTACTAAGTCATCCAACCTGCAGTGTCCCTGGGCAGGACTGGTTCATTGCTGAGAAAACACAAGTGAGGACCAGAACACCAGAACTACATAGTGGCCCAGGCTGGGACTTCGGTCAGCTAGACCCATCGTTCTATAGAAAGGGATGCTGGCCCTGTCCACCTGACATCGGGACCAGCTGAGATGAGACAAAAGTCCTGTCCTGCCTGTTCCAGAGCAAGGAAGGTGGAGACTAGAGAGGGCGCCTCACCTGCTGAAGCCACACATGACCCCCAGAGTTGTCCTTCGTGCCCTGGGGGACTGAACCCACTATAGGTGCCCTCCTCACCAACAGAGACGAGAGTGTAAGGTTCCTCCAATCCCTGACTCAGTCACCGACCCTGAGCCCATGCCCCTAGGAACCCACGTACCTAGAAGCCACCCTGGCCACCAGGCCAGCTGCAGCACGGCCCAGGTAAGCGGCCAGGGAGCCCGCGAGATCTGCATGCCCGGGGGAGCGCCAGCTGCGCCTCTGTCTGCCTCCTGTGCTGCTCAGACAGAGGTGGCGGTGGAAAGGAAACTGTCCCGGGTCAGGTGGAGGGAGGGGACCTACCCTTGGCCCCCGCCCCCTCTTCCTCCACCTCCACAGGAGCGGGAGGGCTGGGGAGGGTGAGTGGGGGAAGGGAGGGAGGGGGAGGGGGAAGGGCTGGGAGGGAGAGATGCCCAGGGAGGGCTGGGGGACAGGGAAGGAGGAGGTGTGGGGAGGGAGAGAAAGGGGAGAGATAGAAAGACCGGGGGAGATGCAGTGTGGGGAAAGAGAGAGAGAGAAAGAGAGAGAGAGAAAGACAGACAGTGTGCTCTGCCCCACCATGGGGTCTCTCCATCTGGCCCTCCCTGGGCACTTTTTGACCTTTCAGTTCCTTACTTCAGTGTCCCCTCAGGGGCAGGGACTGGGGGCTTCCTGTTCCTGGGGAGGCTGGGACTGTCTGCCTGGCTCAGGTCCCTGACTGAGGTGAAGGGTGGGCTGGACCCTGACCCATCCCTTATGAGCTCCCTTGATGCCTCAGCATGTGTGAACCAGGCTGGCTGCCTGCCCATGTCGACTGCTAGGGTCAAGTGCCCGGACAGGCCTCTGCTACTCCCCACCCACCCTACCTGCTGGAGGGGCAGCAGCCAGCACAGCCCTCCTGTGAGCCCCCAGGGGCTCAGGCCCAGAGACAGCTGAGACCTGGGCTTGGGTCTGGGCTTTCCCTCCTGGCCTGCCTAGACCCTTCCCCTTGAAGATACCGGGCTGTCCTGCCTGAGACACTGGCCTCTCTCCCAGCAACCACAGTGGCCTTGGGTTTGATGTCCTGCTGCTCTGTCCTGGCTGATTTCCCCTGTGCCTTCCCTCAGGCCCGACAGCAGGCTTCCAGATCTTCTCCACTGCCCCCCCGCCCCACCACCGCCCCGCAGCCTCTAGTTCCCTCCATTGGGGGTGGGGCAGGCCTCTGGTGATCTCACCGTGCTCTGCTCTCAGCATTTTATCTCCGTGAATGGAAATAGGAAAAATGAAACTGCTGATATTAGTGATGAGGTGTGTGGGTCTCGCCAGCCTAAAATAACCAGCCGGGCCTGGAAACCGCCTGGCAGCTGTCTGGCTGGGGAACTGGCTGGGCTGTGAAGGAAATGTTACTTACACGGGTGGAAAAAGAGCATCAGAGACAGCGAGCGAGTGAGTGAGCGATGAAGCAGGCTTTATCAACGAGGCCGCTCCCAGTCTCAGCTTGGGGTGTGTAGGCGGCAGCAGGAGGGGGGGTCCCCTCGGCCAGGCCCAGCAGGCAACCTGCTGCAGGGGGAGCCTTCCTGCTCACCCCTGTGGTCTAGGGTCAGCAGGTCCCTCCACTGGGCTGGGCAGCAAGACTGCATTTGGCCCGGGGCTGATTCTGGATATGTTTCTGTCATCCGTCTATCATCCGCATTTGGAGTTTAGTCTCTCAGAGCCCCCAGTCTCCTGTGGGGACTCTGAGGCTCTGTACTCTGCAGGGACAAAGTGGCCACTGAGGATTGGAGGTGCAGCTGCTTGGGTAGGAGGGCACCTGGCCTAGCATTGCACCCCTGGGGTCCCCTCGCCACCCCAGGCTTGTAAGTGACAGACAGCTCTCCAGAAGCCAGGAGGGGACCTCTGCTCACCTCCCTCTGGTGGGAGGAAGGGCAGGAGTTCTGGGTCTGGAGCAGCAAGGTACTGGGGCTGATCCTGGGGGTGCTGGGTGGGACCTGTGCCTCAACTTCACACTCGACCTCTTATCAGCTCCTGCAAGCACACAATTCTCAACACATACTCTCCCCAGACACATGACACTCCTCAACACACGACACAACCTCTATAACACACTATTTCCCAACGCACACACACCTGACGCACACACACAATTCCCAACACACACACAGTCCCTAACACACACAGTCTCCACACGCACGCGCACACACACTGTCCTCTACTGCCTCCTAGCCCAAAGAGGAAAACCCTAGGGATGCAGGGGGCCAGCTGTGCTGCCCCCCTCCCGCCTTCCTCAGCCTTACTGCAGGGAGGTCTCACCTTTTCCCTCCCCAACCCACTTTCCTAGCAGGGGTCTTTGCTCTTCCAGATAAGGGGCCTGGGCTGGGGTTTTCTGGGCCACACAGAATTCAGTGAAAACAGACAGGCCGTGTGTTTGGCTGGGTGTCACGCTTTTTGCAAGTGTTAACTGTAGATTCACCGCAGGGTGAGAAACCGTAGATGGTCCTGTGGCCCACCTGGCTATGCGGTCTGCTCTCAGGTGCTGCCCCAAGGCCATGGTGAGGGTAACCCTATCCCTTGACAGAGCTGAACCCAGAAGCTGGGGTGCCAGGCATGAAGGGGCAGGGCCAGGCGGACCTGCTGCAGAGAACACAACCGGGGCTGTCCATTGATAAATGGCAGGGACCTCACGCAGTGTCACTTGAACCTGGATGAGCTCGCAGTTGTCACCCAGGGGAGGGGTGATGTCGCCTCACAGAACACAACCCCCCAGGACCTGTGCTCTCAGTCACACCTCTTCACAGTGACCTTTGGCCTTCAAGTCAACAGCGGTGCAGACACGGCATGGTAGAGCCAGTGTGCAGGGTCTGGCTTTCCACAGGGGACTGCTCCCTGAGTGCCCTCCAGCTGTGTGCAGCAGCTCTCTGGTCCCTTTTGGTGCTGAGCCAGGGTCCCTGGTATGCCATCCCCTTGGGGGTTCTTGGGGATATGGATGAAGCTGCCCTGGACGTTTGTGTGTGGTCGGGTATAAGTGCCAGTTTCCATTTCGCGAGTGTAACCACTGGGTGTGAGGTCACCTTTCCATTTGGGAAGACTGGTTCCCATCTGTTTGCTCTTGCTGGGAGGACTGGGGTGTAAATGCTCTCAAATGGAGCCATTAAGGAAGCCACTGCTGGCCAGGCCCCGAGAAGGCCCCCGCCTGCCTCCCCTCCTGGGCTGGGAAGAGAAGCATTAGTTTCCAGGGTGTGGGCCTGGAGGCTGTGACACCAGGAGCCTGTAGGACGGAAAGTGGGGGACAGAGGGGATCCCCATGTTTAGAGGCAGCGGGAAGTTTCCGTTCAGGCGGGGACAGGGCCAGGAAGTGCAGGAAACAGAAGGGTCACCCTGAAACTGCTTCTGTGCAGGAGGGAGGCGGAAGGCAGCACCCTAAGTGCTCCTGACCCAAAACCCCACGGAGGGGGAGTGAGGTCCAATGGCGCAGTGCTGCCTGGGGTGGCAGGCCCCACGGCCCATGTGGCAGCCTGATTCACAGCTATTTCTGAGGTTGGAACAGGAAATGGTTAATAGTGTTTGCAAATAAAAACTTTCTGTTCCACCCTGCTTCTGAAACATTTCCCAGAAGTTAAAGGAAGAGCAGCTTACTTATCTGCCCAGTTCAAGGCCGGAATTTTAAGAGAGCGAATAGGACATTTCCATACGTTATCACACAAGTGTTCCTCAGAGCAGGTGATTTCTAAAGCCTCTATTTCTCCCTGTTTTCTACACTTTCTAGAATGCAGTTAGTAGTTTAAAGTGTGCATTTATATTTTAAATTTCCCAATGTGTGTGTTTGTCATACGCATGTTGTGTGTGCATGTGTGTGTGTGTGTGTGTGTGTGTGTGTGTAGGTGTTTGGGTTGTATATTAACACCTTCCTGCCTTCTCATGCTAGCACAAGAGACATCACTCAGGGCCTTGTTGGTGACTCAGGTGGCCGAGGTGCAGCCCCACCTGGGCGCTGAAGTGAGCTGGGCTGAGGTGGATGCCAGGCAGCTGCTCTCTGGTGACTGGAACAGCCCTGGGCTCCTGCAGCTATCATTGTTCCTTCCAGGGTCCCAACCCAGGGCTTCTGGAGGGAACAGCCACTGAGATGCAGGGGACAGAGCGATGGCCCACCTGGCTGTGATATCTGCTCTCAGGTGCTGCCCCAGTGCTGTGGTAAGGGCAATCCCAGTCCATGACAGAGCTAAGCCCAGAAACTGAGGTGCTGGGCACAAAGGGGTAGGGCCAGGACTGGCCAGGCTGTCCAGCCACAGTGGGCCTGGCTCCTTCTGATGGTTCTTCCCTGTGGTCTACTTACCTCTTGTCCCCAGCCCCATCCCAGTCACGGGAGCCATCCTTAGGGAGGGCCAGTCAGACAGACAATGGAATACAAGTCCCAACCAGGCCTTGGTTCAAAAGCCTGTCCTTGCAGGGACACCATCCAGGGAGTATGGGCTGGGGAGGGGACCTGTGTCACTTCCAGGTTGGACAAAGACACAGCTTGAGGCTCTCACCACACCCAACTTACATCCACTGTTCTGATGAGGACGAGGACAATGTTTCTGGCCAACTGGTTTGTTAGCTGACTGGGGGCTTTGCTGGCCCTTGGTTTGTGGGCCTGGGGGCCATAAAGGGGCAGGTAGACAGAAGTCTCTGCACTGTGGCCTGCGCTGGGTGTCTGGGGAAGTCAGAACAGGTCTGAGGAGACCAGGAATTCTGGAACGAAGGTCAGAGGTCACTCACTCTTGCACTTGATTAGGGCTGGAGTTGCTATTGACCCTTTCCAGGTGGTGGGGCCACAGTTACAAAGCTTTTCTGAACTCAGAGCCCGAAGAGGTGGCCAGGCCGTGGGCAACTGAGACTGACTGAGGTGGGGAGGTGGAGGGAGTGGCCGGGAACCACCATGTCCACAGGGAGTACTCTGGGCCAAGGCCGCGAAGAAGGGCGAGCAGCAGCCACCTCCACAGATCCGTATGCGGACTGGACTGTGAGCAGGACCACGGGACCCCACCCACAATGGCCCCAAACCTACCAACCAGCCCCAGGACTGTAGGTACAACCCCAGAGTGTTAGGTAGGATTGGGACAGCCAACCTGTGGGACCAAAACAGGCAGAAAACAGCATTAAGACACTGTGGCAGCTATTTTTCTAAATCGAACAAGTAACTGCGAGTCAGGTGACCCAGAAGTAGGGACTATGGTGACTCTGGACCCAGGCCTTCAGTATGTAGCGTCCATCCTCAAGGATACCTCCTGGCCTAAAATGGCTGCTAGAGCACCAACCATCAACTCCACACTGATGAGCAGAAGAAAGCGAAAGTGGAATGAGAAGAGTAGGGCTTTTCTCCAACTCTCTGGCCCCATATCAAGGTGCCTTCCCGGAACATCTCACAATTGTCACACTGAACTTCAAGGAAGAAAGATGTCACACATGTGAAAGAGCCCAAAAGGAGTTTCAGAAGTGAAAAATAAGAAAACATCAACAAAAGCCTTGTTTGGCAAGACATGGTGCAGACTGGACAAAGATGAAGAGAGAATTCATGAACTCGAAAATGAGAAGAAACCAGTCAGCACTTGGGGAAGAGAGGCGGCAGCTGTGGGGTTCAGATGAGGCAATGGACGTTCATCTGGGGCCCAGCAGAGAGGTGAGATGGGGCCGAGCACCTGGCATAACCTTGGGGATCCTTGTCTATACCTGGGTCTTCTCCAGGGTCAACCATGGAGAAGAGACACAGTCCGTACCACCTGCGAGCTCGAGCAAGGATAAGAATGGAGAAGAGCAATCTGTCCACAGCAGGCTGGGGGACAGAGAAGAGCCGTGACAGTTGGCCAGCAGCAGAGGTAGGGCTGGGTGGATGTGCTGAGTCTCCATGTGGCCACTCCTGGGCCTCCCCACTGAGGGGTGGCAAACAGTCTGGAACTTGGAGACGGTGGTCCTGTAGGTGCTGTCACCTTCAGCTGGGTGACCCAGAGAGCACAGCGAGCTGACACTCACTGCAGGGAGCCATGCCTCTGCCCTCAGGGCCAGCAGGAGCCCCTGGGCCACAGACAGAGGATACAAATGCCGCACAGGAGTGTGAGGTCCATTGGACGGTACTGTCCTCTCCAGGAGGGTCTGTGGAGTGGCCATTGGGGGATCTTCCCCCAACTCGGTGTGCTGGGGACATGGCCTTGCTGGCCACCTGGCAGCTCTGGCAGTGTGCACTTCTTGTCTTTGGGGAATCAAAAGTGGTTCAAAGACTTCCTGAGAGTAGGCAAGCATTTTATGACCTCGGGTCTGTCCGGCTGCCTGTCAGTGGCCACCAAAGGACCCAGGTGTGAGCTGTTCCCTGTCAGCGCTGATCTTGAGGTCTCCTGAGTCCCCTGCAGGGACCAGGGGCTTTAACAGAAGGTGAGGTGCTATCCCTGCATCCCTGGGCATCTTTCAGACCCGTGGGCTGCCGACCTGGCCCTTTCCCTCTTGGCTGAGCTCTTTTCTCAACCCGGTTTTTGTTGTGCCCTAATACACTACTGCTGTACAAGACAGTTTGGCTGAATTTCACAAACAAAAACCTCCAAAAGGTGAGAGAAGCCAGACAAACACACACACACACACACACACACACACACACAATCTGTAACGTCCGTTTAGAAAGCTCAAAAGCAGCAGCCACAAAGGATAGTTTCTAGGGTTACTTCTTAGATGATAAAGCCACAAAATGCAGCTCAAAGTAGTGGGGAAGCCAGGCTAGTGGGACCTGGGGGTAGGGCACACAGCCAAAATTGGAAGGGAGCAAGTGAGGGGTTTGGGGTCTGAGGAGATTCTGTTTTCAGACTTTACAAAAACTTGTGAAACTATGCATTTATGTCTTAGGCATTTTTATGTAAATGCTTGGTATTTCTCTTTTCACTTTCTTGGGGTTTGTTTTGACAGTATTGGATTTGAACTCAGGGTCTTGGACTTGCTAGGCAGGTGTTCTGCCACTTAAGTCCCTCCCCCAGCCCTAGACATTTGGTATTTCTTATCAATAAAGTTTAAAGAAAGGTGGGTGCAGTGGTGCACATTCGTAATCCCAGCGGAGGTTAAGGCAGAGGATTTCGAGTTTGAGGCCAGCACGGGCTATATAGTGAGCCCGTTTCAAAAAAAATGCAAAATGAAAGCAGAGTTTAGAGGAAAGCCCTGTGGGAAAAAGTGCAGTGGTACTTTTCTATAACGTTCTCACGGCCTGTTCGTAATGGCAAAGACTCAGCACCGAGCTGTTCAAGGACAGAGACAAGGTCAATGACTCATGGCATATCACGCATGGAAAATAACAGACACGTCACAGTGTGCTATGGGACACTCTTCATGACCTGCAGTGCAGTAAGAAGAGCAGGCTCCCAGCCGGGGCCTGTGAAAGTGGTCTTTACCCACACACCTGCCTGCAATGGCGCGGACACGCGTGCACCACAGGGCTGGTGACTGACTGGCGATCTCTGGGGAGCAGAATCACCTGCAATTTTACCATATCATGCTCTTTCCTGCTTCCCATTTCTCTGAGACAGACTGGTTGCCATGGAGACCGTGCTGTTGTCAAGACAGCCGATTGGCGGGTGCTTGGGTGCTTCCTCGGGATCCGGCCAGGCACAGCCATCGGCCCGCACTGCGGAGACAGCAGCAGCATGGACGGGACCCGGGTGGACGTGTGGGCAGACACCTTCGCCCAGCTCATGGCTGAGAGGAAGCCCCAGGACATCTGGGTCCTGCATCCCCAGGAGAGCCTGGTTGCTGGGCACTTGGATGGTGGCGGTCTCCAGTACCAGCTGAAGGGGCTTTCGAGGTTTGGCTGAGGGCTTGGAGGCCTCCCTGGGAGAGAGAGGGGGCTGAAGGGACCTCATCACTGGCCCTTGGTTGGCCCTGGTCCCTTAGGCCAGGCTGGGTGTGGCAGGGAGTGGGTGCTATTGGGAATCTGGGCATCCTCCAGCCTGGTCCCCAACAGGTGGGTGGGGCCGGGTGCTCGTCACCACTTCTGGGAAGTAGAGGTGCTCAGTGCCCCCGCATGGCTGCCTGGGCCAGGGTCCTGGTGGGATGGTGTGGTTGGTGGCTTTGTTTTGCTTACTCTGGCTTCTCTGGCCAGTGCTGCCCTCTGATGTGTGCCTCATCTCCATTTCCACGACACCGCCGTGCAAGGTGGGCATTAGTGGTGACAGGTGGGAGCTGTATTGCACAGGTACCCCTCACTGTGGATGGCCCTAGGGACCAGCAGATGGATGGTCCTGCCTCAGGTGGAAGCAGAGGGATGCTTGGCCTGGGGAACACTGTCCCTAGCCCAGGGTACTGGATGAAGTGGGGGGCTGGGCCGGAAGCCTGGGTTGGCTGAGGGTACCACAGTCATGACACCCATGACACCAGGAACCTCCATCAGGAACTTGCTTCTGCGCTTTGGGCTTCTCTACCCTGTGAGGCATTCCCAACAATGCAGACACCAGGTAGGGGTGTGTAGGGCAGTGGAACCTCCTCATCTGTTGTTCAGACTTGGCCAGACCCTCAGGGTGCTGGTCTGTGTGTCACTCCATGGTGACACTGGGCAGAGAGGGGGTGTGCTGCCCTTTGATGTGGATGCCACAGCTCCCCAGCTCCAGTGAACCTCCCCCCAACCCTGGCCTGGTGTGAATCGGACCCTGGCCTTAGCTGCCAGGAAGTAAGAACAGTGGGTGGCACATTGCTCTAGTGGGCGAGCTGAGGTGTACACACTGATGCAGTGGTCATCTTGGTGGACAGACTGTCAGGGACAGAGACCGATGGCCCAACAGGAGCCACCTGCCTCCTGTGCTTCTCAGTGCTGGTTAATCAAACTTAAGTAGGTTAGAGGTTCTGGTCCTCAGGCACCATCCATGTCCACGTGTTCTGTGGGCTCACTCACGTGGCTGGAGGATGCAGGCATAGAGCACTTCCACCACCTGGAAAGTTTTCACTGGAAACATGGAAGCAAGGGTTCCCATGAAGCTTGTACAGCGGTCACTTGTCTGGAGACCTGAGGGAGGCGCCAGGTAGGCAAGAAGGCCAGGACCTAGCAGAGCACCGAGGGCCCAGCTGCAGGGCCTCCACAGCAGCTCTGTGTCCCCTCCCCTCTGCTCACCTGTCCCTTTTACCCGCAGGCTCCAATGCAGCCAAGGGTGCACCCTTGTCTGGAGGAGAGGGTCCAGAACCTTCCTTACTGGGGCCCTGAGCCCCTGAGTTAGTGAAGGAGGCAGATACCCAGCTGCCTTGCTCACATCTACACATGCTGTGAAGGTCATGCAGACTCATACACCATATCTACTCTGGGTCAGCCCTCTGTGCTCTTCAAGGTTCCCCATCACCTGCAAGGAGGGCTGACACCTGACAGGAGACAGGCCAAATTGCCTCTTCTCTTTTGGAATGGGGACCCATCAAAGCTTGCTTCTGCAGCACCCCATTTGGGAGCCAATGCCAGGCCTGTCCACAGGGCCGCCTCTCACACCTGTTAACCCCAACTCACAAAGCAGCAGAGAAGCAACAGGGTGAGGTGCCCACATGCCAGGCAAGTGAGTTCTGGTGGCAGACTGAGGAGAAGGCGTTTGCTTTTCAGACTTTCATAGTTTTTTGGGCTGCAGGCCAAGGGACCTGCTCTTCGCCCATGTGCAGACAAAGGGCTCAGGGTTACAGAGCTTATATGCAGGAAAGCACAGGTGCTGGGCCCTCTTGGCCACGGCCCTGGCTGGCTGGTGGGTGAGGTTTGAGGTTTGAGGTTTGAGTGTGGGATGTGGGGCCAGGTGTGAGGTGAGGCGCCAGGCAAGCAAGAAGGCCAAGCAGTAGCGGAGCACCGAGGGGCCCAGCCTTGGGGCCTCCACAACACCTTGATGTCCCACCCCCCTGCTCACACTTCCCCTCTTTCACTGCAGGTTCCAGTGTAGCCGCTGCCCGTGGACCTGGAACTCTGCCCATGTGCACATTCTCTTCCACCTGTGGTGGGACAAGGACAGTGGCCAGGGACTGGTGAAGATGCGTGTGTGGGGCCAGCAGTGCCAGCTGTGTCCCCCAGGCACCCTTGGAGACTGCCAGGTGAGCCCCAGTGACATCCCAGTCTTCCTTGGCAAGCTGGTCCTGTACATTCTGTGCAAGTGCTATGAGGACAGCTATGGCCCTGAACTGTACCCTGAGGCCCAGCCAGGGGACGGCTGTGAGGCCTGTGATCTGGGTGTCTGCTTCCTCCAGAGGGCACCCAACCCTGCCTGGGGGCCTGTGCTGCAAAGCACCAGTGCCCTGGAAGACCGGCAGGCCACACATAGCTCTACCACTGATACCAACAGCCAACAGCTGTGTGCCCCGCACCGCTGCTCCGTGGTCAAGAGCACTAGGGCCACAACTCTAAGCCCATGACCGTGCCCTTGCTGGTTATTGACTTTATCGAGGACCCTTTCTCTGGGAGCAGTGACTTCCTCAGTGAGGGTGACTGCATCATTGTCCCCTTCTCCCTTGCGGATGTCACTGACATCTCTGGAGAGGGCTCCCTCCTAGCAATTGGTGGCAGCAGGCCACCCATGATGGGCCAGGGCTCCATCTACCTGTTTGGAAGCTCTGTGGCTATACCTGATGGTAAAGGCATCCTGGTGAATGTCAGAGAACCCATCTTCCATGACCAAGGCCTCCTGGGCAGCACTGTGAAGACCTTTGAACTCAGAGGCTTCCTGTTTGGAGGCCAGGACTCCACACCCAGCCCCATTGGTGTGGCCAAGGGTCAGGGCCCCATCACCTTCCGCAACTGCAATGTCACTCCTGGGAATGACCTTTATCCAGTGTCCTACACCATTGGCCTCAGGGCCAATGGGGAGGGCGTCATCATCTTCCCCTTATCCTTAACCAACATCATCAGAGGCAAGGGCCCCTTTGTCAACATCACTGAGGGCACAGGCAGAGAAGATGGCAGCCAGAACCCTGCCTCTGGTGGTGGTGACCCCCCTCCAGAGACCCACAGGGAGGGCCACACTGCTCGTGAGGAGGGCTCTGTCACCTTCCCCTTCACCTTTACTGACACTGCTAATATTACTACTGAAAATGGCCGGGACCTGGTCACTGCTAGCCACAGCTGTCCTCCAGAGACCAATAGCCCTATCTCCATTAGCAAGGGTACCATCACCATCCCCTTCTCAGTCTTCCGTATCATAAGACACCAGGGCTCCAGCCATATGGCCAATGGCCCCCAAAGCAATGGCTTTGTCACCTATGGCTACTACAAGAAGAGGCGGCTGAGATCTAGGTTTGGCAAGTCCCGCTGCGGGTCCCGCCGGGAGGGGGACTTCCACTCCAGCAGGGCCTCTCGCAGGTCACGTGCGGAAGCCTCCGAGGACTTCTGGATCTGCGTGTCCATGACCATGTGCATTTTCTGGTTGATGTGCATGTACAGACTGAACCTCGGCGGTTACTAGCAGTAAGCCCAAGGCCTCCCCCTGGCGCCCATGTGCCTATCCTGCAGGCTGGTGCACGCAAAGCCGCCTCTGAGACTGCCCCTAACCAGCGAGTGTCTGCTGCCCGCCCGGGGGCCCACCCCTCCTATTGTCTCTTGTGTCCGTGGTCTCCTTCACGGAGTATGGGTTTTGTGGATGTCCATTGTGAGTGTTTTCTAAGTTGTATACGTGGGTTCCAGGTGTTTTTTCTGAATGTGTGTCAAACTCCAATAAAGCAAGAAAATATCAACACGCACCTAGTGCGCATCTAAGAAAGCTGGGTTGAGGCTGCTGACCGAGAGGAATTTGTGAGGTGGGAGGTGGGGGCGTGGTGGACTGGGCCTACCCTCAGTTCCAGTCCGGGGGTGGCAGGGAGCCAGGGGAGGGCTGGGGATTGTGGCCTGGAGAAGGCCCATCCAGTGCACGAGCCAGAAATTCCTGTCACTCATGACCAACCCTGGGTTTCCATTTCAGAAGACTCCAGTTTCCATTTCCAAGGGCCAGGATGTGATGGGGGCACATGGGGGTCTCAGCTACCTCCTCCCCCCCACCCCCCAAGGCTGGGAATTGCTTAGAAAGACAACAGGGTCTGCCATGATGGCCACCTTGAGGACTGCTAGGGGCTTGGGAAGCCTTCTCTGTAGGAAAGGGAAATCTTTCTCCAGGGCCTTTGTGGGCAGGCCGGTGCTTCTCCAGAGAATTCTGCCTGCCAGGCTGACCTGGAATTGCAGGGCACAGGAGACCTCAGAGGCCCCCAGGCCCCTCCCCCCCACTCAAGGCAGGCTGTGTTGAAGCCCCAAAGAACCCCAGTGTGGGGTGACAGGCTATGGGGTCTCAGGAAGGAACTCAAATCCTGTCTTCTAAGACCCCAGCCCACACCTTGTGGCAGGAGGAGGATTGCTTGTCACTTTATTATCATCCTTGTCTTGGGGTAAGTTTTGGGAACTGGCCTGAACCAGGGCCCCATCTGCTGGCTGGCACGTGGGGTGGTGGTCTTTGAGCATCCTGACCCCCTGCTTTCCCTGCTACCATGGGCAGGTCCCTCACTGGCTAGGAGACCCGGTCCACAGGCTTGGTCATAGGAATCTTTACAAAGGCGTCCCCCAGTGAGCACACACCAAGCGTCATCCTGCGGCAGGTGACCGCCATCGTGTCCCACACCCACCTGAAACCAGAATATGATCAGCACAGCGAGTCACCGCCCCGCGCTGGTGCTCCCGGCCACCTCCCAGCTTGCGGACCCGGCGGCCGGCGGTGCTCCGGGACCGAGGACCAGTCACCGGCCCGCGTCCCCCGCCCCGTCCTCCTCGCACGGCGGGGGCCACGGGACCCCCACGGGCGGGCAATCACGCCTGCGCGCCACGCGGGCCTCCGCCGTCCTCAGAGCTGCAGTCTGCGCCCCGCACCGCGCCCCGCACCGCACCCCGCCGAGGGATCCAGGGCGGCGTGGGGAACGGGGGCGGCCTGGTGCCGCACCTGCCACGCACGCCAGTCCCGACCCCACAGACCTCCGACCCCGACTCCGGGCCCCCCAGATCCCTGCGTCCCCTCCCCCACGCCCTTCCCCGCGACTGGGAGTCCTCTGCCTACACCCGCTCCCAGCCCCCGAGACCCCTCCCCCAGCCCCCGAGACCCTCCCCAACTCCCGACACCCCTCTCCGAGCCCCCGAGACCCTCCCCAACTCCCGAGGCTCCTCCCCAACTCCCGAGGCCCTTCCCAACTCCCGAGACCCTCCCCAACTCCCGAGACCCCTCCCCAACTCCCGAGACCCTCCCCAACTCCCGAGACCCCTCCAACTCCTGACACCCCTCCCCCAGTCCCCGAGACGCCTCTCCCAACCCCTCCCCCCGACCCCTCCCCAACAGCTCCGGCCCCGCCCCTGTCGCACGCACTGCGGGGACAAGCAGCCTCCTTGGTGGTGCGGGCCTTTGGACTGCGCCCTGTTCATCGTTGCTGTTTGATCAGGACCATTTCCTGAACCAACTCCCACCCATCCTCAGCACGGCGACCTTTAGTTTTCCTTACTAACTTGCATTTCATTAATAATTAAATTTCATACGCAGGAGCAAAGGCAGGAAGTGGACTTGGTCTGTGGTGAACTCTTATCAAGGTACCTCAGCTTTTCTGAGTCCTGTTCCTGCCGGTCACCAGCATGGGGAAGGACACAAGGAACACACCCAGGACACACTGGGACTCAAATCCTGACTGCTCATGCGCACACCTGAACCCTCACCTGAACCTGAATCTGAACTCTCACCTGAGCCCTCACCTGATCTTATATGGCCTGAACAACCCGTTGTCCTAATTAAATGTGATGTAACAATACCTATTTTTGGCAACCCTGTTGATAGTGGAAATACTGTCCCACGCTGTTAAAGGAATGTTTTTAAGTGTAACTCCTTGTTGGTTCAGCCCATGCCAAGGGGACTCAAAGTGTGAGTGCTTGCCTGGTTTCAGGTAAATGGCCTCATGGTGGGGGCTTAGTAACTAGGGTCAGATATGGTTCCCACTCAAGCTAAGCCCCCGAGCTGTGAGACTGAGCACAGGTTGGGACTCCATTAGAAGGATCTGGTGAGAACGTTGACAGGGTGTCCACCACTGTGCGGTGGACAAAGTGAATGTGGCCAGTGTGCGTGTGACTTACTGACTAGTGTCTGTGACTGCCCTCAGCAGGGCTGGGATCAGCTTGGACCCTGTACTCTGTGACAAGGCTTGTGGTAGGCCCTGCAGTCCTTCTGGTGAGCAGGGGGTTTTGGCTTGGTCAGTGGCCCACCCAGGGGTGTCAGAGGATATGTGTTTAACAGGCCTGGTGAAGTGGCAGGAGGCCAAGGATATCCCTGGAGGGGCCACAGTAGTCTTGAGCTTAGCCACTGACTGGCTGTTAGGCCTTCACCTGACTGTGAACCATGTTGGCTCCTCAGTGAGAAGTCCTGGCTGGGGTGAAAGCTCAGGAATTCCTTTCTTGTAGCTCAGAGACTTTGTACTTCTGTATAGGAAGGCAAGGAGGGGCTGGGACCTAGAGGGCTGTCTCTCTTTGCCAGGCCTTGTGCTGCTGAGATGGGGCCCTCTGTCTCCCCAACTCTCCAACCTGGATTATACACTTACTCCCCCTTGGTGACCAGAGTGGGGCCTCCTCTGGGCCACCTGATGGCAGGTGTCTGCAGATGATAGTTTGAGGACCTGTTTAGCACTCTTGTGGGCAGCTAGTGGACACAGGCAAGAGTTCCCTAAATGGAGCAGAGAACCTGCTCTGGGTGCCCAGAGCCAGCTCAGCAAACCTGCTTGCTATGAGGGTCCTGCCTTCCTGCCACTCTGGGAGCAGCTCCAGGTCCATCAGGGACTGCAGGGGAAAGGGTGGATGTGGGATGGACACAGAGCCTCCATGTTTGGACGGATGAGGGGACACTGCAGCCGTTATAGCTGGTGCTGATCTGGGCTGCTGTAGCCACCTGGGAGTAAAGTTGGGGAGCATGAGGGCACGTGGGATTTCATTGTCTACTGCCTGAGTAGCCTTGAGGGTTGAGGAGAAAACAACTTTTCAGATCCAATTCCAAATGCCAGTCAGTTCCCAGGCCCAGAGCCACAGAGGGAGGAGGAACTGGGGCTGCAGAAGCCCCTACAAAGCCAAAGCCAGGTGACTGATAGATGCCTGTCCTTCCTCAGGACCCAGTGATTCTCTGTGGGCGTGGCCGGCTCAGACCCTGATTCAGAACCTTCCTATCGGAAGTGCTGTCCTATTGCTTTTCCTCTTGTTGGCTTGTTGAGAAGCATTTCCCCTAGCAACATTCCCACAAGCAAGGGTAGCCTGGCACTCTCTTCTAGAAAGTTCCACTCATGGTGCTCTCATGAGAAGGGACTGGGAGGGTGTGGGGTCTGAGTCCTGGCAGATGGCTGTGGCTGGGTCCTGGAGGCCCGGCAGGGACAGGTGAGTCTCTGTGACATGCAGGAGCAGCGGGTGGAATAGCCGATTTCTCTCTACTGTGGCTGCTGCACGAGGATGTGGGGGGCACCTGCCCCGTGGGGTCCCACCTGCAGGACACGTGCCCCAGCAATACTGACCGCAGGCCCAGGGACCGGCAGGGTTGCCAGGGTATTAGTGAGCGACTGTTGGAAGGGGTTCTTGTTCCTGTGACTGGTTCATGGCGGGGAGGAGACAACCGAGGTGGCAGGAGAGAGTCACAGGGCTCTAGATAGCGCTGCCCATCCACATTCTTTGCTTTTATAGACAGAGGGTCACATAGGCTGCGTTAGAGGGGTGGGGAGGAAATCCTGATCTGTCCCCAGCAGTCCACTCTTGCTATCTGAATGACCCCACTGCACACAGCTGGCATGGAAGATATACTTTTCTGTCTTTCCTCTCCTCCCACTGCCGACACATGGACGCTCGGATCTCACTCTGCTGTGGACACAGAGATGACCCTGGTTTCAGGAGGGCTGTTTCCATTCCCCAGAGGGGTCTGGGATGTCCATGGGTGGAGGGCACCTGGCCACCTCTGGCTCATGCAGGTCTAGAGGTCTGGGGGCAGTTGGGCAGTGACTTCAGACTCAGGTCAGACAAGCTGGAACCTTTCCTCAGAGTCATGGGTGTGTGATTCTGTGCTCCGCCCTCCTGGTGCAGGACCAAACCCGCCACCCCTCATCCTTCACACTGGGAATTGCCCATAGGGCGACCTCAGAATGCTGGATGCTGGCCAACAGAGGCTCTTTATTTCTGCTAACTTAGTTTTTCGTTGTTTGTTTTGTGTTTACTAGGGGTTGAACTCAGCCTTACACTTGCTAGGCAGGTGCTGTACCACTCGAGCCATTCTGCCAACTCTTTTTTGAATTGATTATTATTATTTTGGTGGGCTGGGGTTTGAATTCAGGGATTCACACTTGCAAAGCAGGCTCTCTACTGATTGAGCCACACCTGCAGTCCATTTTGCTCTGGTTATTGGAGATGGGGGTCTCACAAGCTATGTACCCAGGCTGTCCCTGAACC